TTGTAGTCGTGGTATCGATACCACACTACGGATGTTGTATTTGTGGTATCGAAACCACACTACAGATTTTGTAGTCTTGGTATTGATACCAGACTGTCCAAGCAGCTCTTGATGGTCACCTACACACTATCGTCTTAAACCGGTGGTTGGTACCACATCATTGTTTCCAATTATGATCCCTCAATACTCAAACCCCTTTAGGTCAGGCCTGAATACATGGACATGGAGATACAAAACATTAAAATGAAGAAAAGGAGAAGGTTATCCTCTCTGCATTCTCCAGAACAGGGTGCACTACCTGCTTTGGAGAATGCGGAGAGAATGAACCCTGGAAGAACATTATGTATAGTATAAACAGAACACAGCCCACGCGTCACATCAGCCACAGTCCAAGATAAGTCCAAGATAAGTAAAAGGTAGGACTACAGAGGTAATCTAATAAGTCAAGCAGGTTCACGGATGAGGGATTGGAGCAACTCACAGCCAACAGCTCAGAAAGGACACAGTCATAATGATGACAAGGAAGGAAGGCGAACAACAGGCTTGGCACTAGCAACCGGAGCAAACCGGGTAACCAGAATGACATGGCAGGACCTGAATGATGTAATCAGTTCTTGTTAGTCAGGGATCAAGATCATAAATGGCGCCAAAAAAAAATGATCCCTCAAGGACATACCCATCATGTAACCCGCATGAAAGCTCCTTCTGAGAGGTGTTAGCTGTTTCAGTGATAGGTCAAGGTGAAAGCAGAACGTACCAGACTTGACTGTATGAATGAGGCGGGCCTTGTCCGGGTCACACAACCGAACTTTAGGCAGTGTCTCAGGCCACAACGGGTCTTCAACGAAACACTGGCTGCTCTTGCCACAACGGGCACAGCTAGGATACCAGGACACCTTAGATATAGTTGAGAGCTCATGATCAACATATCAAAAGTGTCCCGATACCCCCCCAAGAACTGAAGGAGAGATGGTTGTGGGACGAGTAAGAGCCATGGGGCGCCCTGGGGCGCCCTGGAAACCCTTTAAATAGTGCACCGGAAAGATCCGGTTTGCCAGTGTTGATCTGTCAACGGCAGACGCGCCTAGATCATGTGACCGCGTTATGGCGCCACTTTTTTTTATTCATGATCGCCATAAGCGTTGTGGCGCCACTTTTATCAATTCATGATCGCCACAAGAGGTCTGTGCTTTGTTCAGTCTGTGCAGACCTTGATCTGAGCCTGCCAAGGCATTCACTGCGTCGAGCCCTCTGCTGGCGGGGGTTACTTCAGCCGCGTGCAGGTCTCTTTAGAGTTCGATTCTCGGTCCCGCCAGCTCCGTCGTCCGCACGTCATGTCAGGTACAGCCGCTCGGGCGCAGATATTTCCAGTCCGTCATCGATAGCTCTATTCAGCGTTTGTGCACATATATGTACGCCGCCCTGCTGTGCTACTCTGACTTTGGCCTGTCTAAGGCTTATAGTAATAATGGTGAATTCTGGAGATCACAAGGTGTGAAGCGAGTTTAGCTTCAACGCTAGATGTTTCTTGTCTTGCTAGGTTTCTGCACTCTTCTGCATGTACGCTACTGGTCATTGCAAGTTCTCTATGCATCCAGTTTTGCTCGAGCATCTTGCCTGCACTGCTGGAAGTTAAATGGGCAATCGTACATGCACTCAAATGTCTCTGGCTTTCTCTGGCTCGCCGTCATGGATGATTCCACAAAACTGGATGTTCTTTATATCCAGTGAACTAGTGTTGACAGCAAGTGACAGCACCTGAGACATGAAACACTAGCAACGGCGCATGACGGATCCTACTTATGCCGCCGTTTTGCCTCCTCGCTGCCTCCGTCTGTCTAGTCCTCTCGCTCGTCTGTGCTTACCTCTTGTGGTACTTAGTGAGTACACAACTCCCCTCGCTCTCTCCTAATTTCATGAACTCTTCGTTCATCTTTTTCGTCAGCAGGAGGGGCTATGGAGAGGCCTCTAATGATTGATGCCCTAGTCTGGGACACCATGCCTGAGCCGCAACGTCAAGCTGTTGCGTATGCCCTTTCAGTTATGGCTCAACTGCCCGTCGTCTCCGCCCACCAACCGGTCCAGCCAGTCTTCCAAGGAGGACAACATTTAGCTTCTCACGCAGCGCCACAATATCGCTCTTCGTCGTACCGGTGAGCAATTTGGTGGTCAGCTTATCAGGCCTGCATGGGTTACTAAACCAAGGGCCAGTTCCGAGTCAATCAGTCCTGGTACACAGTTTACGGTTCATGACAATCGTGGTCGTGGTCGTACTCCTATCAGGCACGTACGGTGGTGCCAGTTTTTGTCACGTAATGTACCTCTGATATCTGACATGACCTTTCTCTAGTCGAAATTCTATTTCACCCAATTACACCACCCATTATACCCCCGGCTCAGATCGCTCTCGGTCTCCTACGGCTCGAACGGCACCAGGGCTTCACAGCAACTCCATTCTCACATTCACTCAGCCACCATCCCCTCAGAATCAGAGCGCCACTTATCGTCACAACCTCACGCCCTCGCACTCGTTGGAGAACATCGACCCTCAGTTACTGTAGTATTTCGACCAGACGTTCATCAGTGGCGTGAGAACCTCACGCTCCTAATACAGCCTGTCCCCCCTTCGAGGTTCGTCAAGCTCGAGGGACAGGGGACAATTTCCTTTTGAAGTATGTTTTCTGTTATTCTGGAGAAAAATATGTGATTTTCCGTGACTAATGTGTCCATTTTGGGATACCGACACTAGAGGGGACGGTGGACTGTCCCCCTGAACATGTTCAGTTCGGAGGTCCCGGTGGACAGGGGACGAACGTTTGGTCGAAAAATTACAGTACACCCTACTCTTGAGTCACGACGCCATCCACCACACCATCCATACTTACTGTATATAGTGAAGTAAGAGTTGTGAGTGGGCTTACAAACGAGTAGAGAGGAAGGCGGGCGACTTACCTTGTTCGACTTCTATTGTGATTCCATGTTCTGATTCGGATGTCTTCAAGGAGTCACTGAAGTCAGGCTCGCTGGCTGATTGTTCGGCTTGTATGCAGTTGGTTGAACCCGTAATAGGCTCGCTCTGGATGGAAGTCTGTTGTGTGAATCGATGTGGTACACTGGTTGTCCGGCCAGGCGTGCCTGGAAATGACGGTGAACCTCGTCCACGAAGGGAAGCCAGACTACGAGGAACCACAACGGAACGAAGGATAGGAGTGCGCGAAGGCCCATTGGATTGATGTGTTGGGAGACTGTTGCCCAAACCGAGACCAAGACCTCGTCCGGTAGGTTGCTGGCGACGATGATACGAAACGCCACGCAAAGCAATAGCGGTATGCTGAGCTTGTTGACTTTGGTGGTATTCGTGAATATGGCGTGGAACATAGGAGCCATGGCCATCTGGGGAGCCGGCTTTGCAATCTGTGCATATACAGAATACCTCACTAGACTTGGATTGGCGAGAATCCGGGCGCTGAAGTATGAGTCGATGCCGGTCAGTATAATATAGAGCGTAAAAGTGCAAGCACCTACTGCTGCAGATGACCGGTCAAGACACATGCTTTCAACACTTTATGTGTCCCAAGAGTACAGACCTCAGCAACTTGAGAGCGGAGAGACCAGTGTTAGACAGAGCTACGGTGCTCGATGTCCCGTTCCAAAGGCAGACGAGTGTATTTGTCACGGCACAAGGCGAGCGTAAACAACGCTGGCAAGAGGGACTCTTCAGATCACTTGGGATGGGTATGTTTATTGGTGTACATAAAGTTACAGTAAGCTACAGATATGATTGGCAGACGGAAGGGCGAGACGAAAGGGCAGCAATAGCTGACAGCGGTTAGAGCTGTTCAACCGCTCTGGCGACAGGTGGCGAGAATGTGCTTAGCCATCCTAATCGGGCCCACTATTCAGGTCCAGTCAGCGGCACTTACCGAACACTGTTCACGCAGAGCCTCGACGCAGTGATTGTTGCAGTCTTCTCAGAGGGCACAGTCGATGGGTCTTATTCGATTGGCGCCCAGTTGATAGATTGCATCTCACGGTGCTCGATTTCTGTGCAAACGCATAAGAAGTTCCCTTTTCTGCACCGACATGTGAACCAGGTCCTGCCCGTGCTCTTTGGAATTTGCGGGGTTTGTGGCCCTTGCTCGAGAGCCTCGAGCAAGTCTTGCATAGTAGAGGACTCGGAGTGATTGTGCTATCTGCGCACAACTCGGATTCGTTACTGATTTTCCTTATTTATGGATGTGGTCACGTCGGTCTCCTGCTCAGTTACGTTCCTCGAGAGTCCAACAGGTTGCATTTTCTCTGGACGAGGCTCAAGAATTGTGATACATATTCAGACTGGGGTCGCTGCATGGTCAGCTTATCACATCCAAGATAATCGTCATGAGTATATACGCCGACTTGGGTACTATACTCAATAATTTCATCGAACACATCATGGTTGAGCTGTACGGCGTACTGCTCATGTATACCGCCAGCTCAATCTCGAGTGATTTGTTCTCAAGGTGTACCGGGTGCGGACTAGCTATTCACATCTATCTGTGAGGTTGTTTAGTCAACGACCTCATATTAGATATCCCTCTGCGATCGTTGTGTGTCTCTAACCTGGCTGCCTCACGATTTTGCGGGCTCCTCGACGAAGTGTGGCACCCGCAAGCAGCCGCCCTTCCGTTCTCGCTCAGAACCTGATGGGAGCTGTCAGTTGGGCGTCAATCGAATAAGACCCATCGACCTGCTCCCCGTCTTCTCATGACCCACTTGCCACTATATAATTGTGTCATTCCCAACCCAACAAGGAAGTATGATTTCCCTTCAAACAAATTGATGTGGCTGAGCTGCCGAGGTAGCCGAGCGTGGGAGTCCCAACACCCGTATTTTTCGGGTGTTGCTTGTCCTCGTGTTATTCAGCCACGTCACTCCCCAGCACACTCGTCGATCCTTCCCACAACCACATCAACATTCTCACTCATTGATTCTGGCTCCCACACTATCACACTCTAATCTCTAAACTAGCTGAACTTCTTTTGTACTGCTTTGCTTCTGAGGATCATCAATCACGACATGGAGGCCATCACTGATCCAAACTCAATCACGTTGAACGAATTCAGCACATGGGATGCGTTTACCCATGTTACTGGTGAGCAGTGATTGACGATACGGAGCAGCCCAGACCACTGATACAACCTCATAAACTGAACTCAGTTGATGATCCTAATTCGCGCAAGGAGCGCAAAAAATACAAGTATCGTCTCGATGATATGTATGTCTCCCACGCATAATGTTCCCTGAGAAAACTTTCTCAGCACTAGTCGAACAGTGTTTATGTTCTGCCTCCTCCAGAGGAATGGGGCGATGCCAAGAGCTCTGCTGAGCTTGATGGTTCGCACTGGTGGATGGCAGTCATTGAAGAAATACGTCTTCATGCACAGCAAGTGAGTTTCTCGCCCATTTTCCGTTGTCTGGCCTTCGTAGACTGAGGCAAGGGTTGTGTCATCATAGTACTATATCAAAGTGCGTTGGATATACTCATCGTATGAGTTGAAGACAAGGTATTGCAAGCAAAAGCGCATAATGTACGTACCCTTGAACAAAAACATCCCATCGTCGAGCTGAACACTCTCCGTTGTCTGTCGTTTTGAAGGAAACTTGACCATTTGGGACCGCATGAGAGGGTGCCATCCGACAACTGGAGTATAATTTGGGTGGAGACACTTCAAGGTCAGCCCAATTTTCCGGCGCCACCTCCATCAGCACTGACATCACATCCAGGACGGGCTGAGGTTGGTCAGTTCACAGACAACCTTGCCAACATGCCCCTTTTCGAGATAGACGACTTCTATTGTCGGTTAGTTCTGAATGCTAAGGGCCCTCGCTCCCCCAAGATCGAGGTAAGTCAGCGTATACCCTCTTAACATGACATGCGGCTCATGTAACGTCAGTGGGCACAGATGTGTCATGAAGATTGTCGGCATGGACGTATCTTCTCCCTCTCAGGAGTTGAGCCCGTCCGGTTTTGCTGCTCGTGCAAGACGTGGTTTCACACTGAGTGCTCACAGGCGCTGGTGCTGGACGATGACAGAGAATTGCTCGAAGATGCAGGTCAAGGGTACATTGTGGAATGTTACGATGCATGGAAGGGCCTGGAATTGAGTGCACTCACTCTACTGTCCTCCCTGCCCGTGGAGAGGACTCCAAGAGAGCTTGGCGCACCGCTCAGCCTCGAGAAGCTAATAATTCAGGCAAGGAAAAAATGGAATGATGAGCAGGGATCAACAGTGGCTCAGATGGACAAGATATGCGAATCACTGCTTGCCACCAGTGATGCACATGGTAAACTGTCCGTGATAATAAAGACGGTGCAGCAAGCGGTGGAGAAGCAGTTGCTGGAGGGAGCGACTTATTATTCATGTCCCAACTGTCTAGTCTATGCGATATGACCCTGTGCTATTATTGAAAAAGCATTTGGTGCTGTTGTTACATGGAATAGTGTGCATGTATGTGAGAAACATCGAACGAAGGTCCTTGCTCATGGTGTTGGTGCCACACAAGTGGCCCAACCCACATGGCCATTCGGAACCGCCCGTCAATACAGAACCCAAGACTTGTAGTCCCCACTCGAAAGCATCAGCAGCAGCCTTGCCTCATCGGCCATCATCACTGTTGATCTGTCTCAGAGCCCAATGACTACGTCCAAGTCCCCGAAGACCCAAGCACCGACGAGGAAACATCGTCGATCCAAACATGTTGATCAAGCTGATCGATCAACACGACGAGCAAACATCCGGGCCTATCTCAAAAAAAAAAGTGGTGGACCGCACTCCCCCGCCGGTTCACTCACTATGAAATCTCTCTTATCAAGCCTCCCAGCTCCATTGCCACCGGCCACTCACAGCATACCTGTCAAACAATCTCGTCGTACCACAGCTCGTCAAACTACTGACAAAACAACACGTAGAACAACATCTGCCAAGCACTACATCAGAAGCACGCAACAGCAGTCACGATTTTCCGAAGAATCTTCCTCTGAAGCCAGCAATGAAGCCGACCTTACCTACGAACACGAGCCAGATTCTTCATTTGAGCGTGTTCAGGAGGTTCAGGACTGGACAGCAGAGAACGAAGAGGGCTATGCAGAGGCAGCAGGGCAGCATGGAGACGACGAGGGGTTGGAGGTTGAAGACGCTCAAACGGAGGAGAAGATAGGTTCGTTTCAATTCACAATGAAATTGTATATCGTACTCTAATCCTCCCACTCAAAATCACAGAGAATTATTTATCCTGCCATGATATCTGGCCATTGGCTGTGGAAGAACTCGAGACCTTGGGCGGGAAACGCTGGCTGAGTCAATATGTGATTGACTACTACCTCCTCGCCCATTGGTACCGCCTGCATTCCACTTCTCCCATCCGCTATGTCGACTGCCTATCCTTTGGTAACAATCCTGAGCCCTTACACTCCGCCAGGGTGATACCGAGATACCGGGAGCGTTACTTTCTCCCCAAACTCGAAATCCCCCTCCAGAAAGTCCTCTACTCCATGCTCCTCAATGCACACCACATCCTCTACTTGCAGGACACCGAAAATATGAAGGTCTATATCTTAGGCTATAACTCGGCAGACACTTCAGACGAAGCCGTTCACTCCAACTGGAGCACCCAGAGCGGTTTCGAGAGGTACTGCAATGTCTGCGAGCTGAACGGGTGGTCCCACCCTAACAATGCTGAAGCTATTACCATCGTCGCGGTCTGCCCAGTTCAGAACGGCTATGACTGCGGGGTCATCGCAATCCAGGTCGCCATGCGACTCTTCAACCGGCAGCTTTGCATCCAAGTGGACGGTTCCATCCCAGTCCCAGTCCTCCCTTGCGGCCACGGTGAGCGCATGCGCATTTTCCGAGAGCTCAGATCAATGCTCGATGCAGCAAACATCAATTATGAGGCCAAGAGAATGGATCCACCAGCGGAGTGGATGACCTGGTCCCTTCAGGCTCTGGAGGCGCAGGGAACCATCATCGTGTATGAGCCGCAACCTCAAGCCCGCGATATTCTCCGCCGTGTCAAGGACGCTTGTCCAATGGCCCACAACATGCTTTTGCAGACTTTACGGTGCAGAAGGTGTATCGCCGAGGCGGCCAAGAAGCGTGACGAGCGGGAGGCACCCATCACTCTACCGATCCAGGGTAATGACGAGCCTCTTGTCAGGCCAGCTTCACCCCCCACGGCGAGAACAGCGCCTCTGCTTCCCACCGTTAGGCAATACCCTCTCCCAAATCAAAACGTTGCAGCAGCACCCCCCATTCCCAGTGGTCTAGCGGTCAGCAGACCAAGTGCAACCACGAGAACCTCCAACCTCATCGGTCGTCGTGTGGTTGCGCGCGCCATCTGTGCAGCAGAGCTCTCCACTGCAGAGTTTCAGCGTCTCGATGCTCGCGAAGAAAACGATTTGGTTCCCTTGCCTTCGGGAGGTTTATGGCCTGAGCATAACATTCGTCATGACCGATATTTCAATGGGCCTACCAGGGAAGACATGCACGGTTATGAAGATCCCATCGCCAACTTTCCGTATAATGAATTCGCACCATTGTACGGGAAGGGAGATCTTATCTATTGGCGGGACTACGGTTGGCGACTGGAAAGCAGAGCATTGCATCAAGTGTACCTCCCACCCCCGGTCAAGGTCAGCTCAGTTCCAAAGACCGTGGTTTTATTTTAATGATGCGCCTAACGTCGACCCATTGAAACACAGCCCGAACTTTGCGTGTTCCCCATCGGGGTCGACCAACAGTTCGATCCCGCACATCGCTACGGTGAACTCACTGGCCTCCAGTCTCGCTCTAGGACTGGCCAGTCCGAGCTGAGGCAATATACCAGACCAATAGATGTCATGGGCATGGAGGATATGTTGCGAAAAACATCACAAGGAGACTACACATCCCGAACGCATGACATGTTCATCCGAGGCGTCAGCGACGAAGAACGCCACATCGTACTCGACCTGGAGCGCGATTCGTATCACGTAGAGGAGCTCACAATGTCGGTGGATATTGACAGTGCAATATGGACCACCTTCGAGCCCAGAATGGTGCTCTCATGCAGTCTCCATCTCATGCCACCGTGGGAGAACGCGTCACCGCTCAACATACACAACCATGGGTACATTCAACTTCTGCACCCTCCACCCGAGGCGCAACGTTCAGTCAGCGATCGAACCTGGGACGCAATTAACGTCTCCCAGAGCGCCGTCCCAAACACTATCTTCGCAACCGTCAACCAATGGAAATGGATAATCGCTTTCCCGCGTATGTTCCATCGTCATGAGCATACCGGGGCGAGAGAGACCGTCATACCTCATTGGCTTCGGATACGGTTCTGGGAAATGGTGGTCCTTCCAGCTGTCAAGGCATCATTACCCTCATGGAAGGACCCGTACTTCGATCACAGCGTTCAGGGCTTCATGGCCAAGTCGGCCGGCAGTAGCAGCGGCGGGGAGAAGTACAAGGGGTACCAGCGCACTGTCACCGCCACAGAGCTAGAGGCTATCGTGAAGGAGATGAGGCGCCTCATGATTTCATTCGATGAGGATCCCGTACTCGGTCGATTCGGATCGTTCTTCTTCATCCTGGAGGCTAGAGGGATCAAGTTATCCACGCAGAGCCGTTTGGATCACAGATCTCCCAGTGCATGGGAACTGTTGATGCAGGAGCACCCCCAATTTGACTGGAAATACATGAGTGACCGCGGGAACGGGGAGTTCGTGGTCGATGTAGGCGTCTCTTTCCATCCAGCAGAGCAGCCAGACGGAGAGCCTGTCACAGGTTTATGGAGGCTTGCACCACTTATTGCATCGTATGCAGTTGCAGGGTACAAGAAGCCCAATGTGCACCACACAGGCATGTTCGGGCAATATGGAGGCATGAGTGCTGAGATAACGGTGGAGAGAGGTCGACGCCAACACGTCACGTTTCGCCAGAGCTACAACCTTGCATACGAGGCGGTCAGAACCAAGGACAACCAAGGAAAGATGTGTCGAGACGCAGAGGCATATGAATACACCGCCCGATTCAGGGAGGCTGTTGACAACAAGATCGCCACACACGAAGAGGCTACGACGAAGTCGTGGGGAGTGCGAGAGGAGTACCGTATGGCCTGCGATGCTGTACCCATGATCATGGAAGGACTTTTCGATTCGGTAAGCTCCCATCACTCTCTCGGCATCAAACCATCACTCACAGGATGCAATGGCGTATATCAGGCTCAAGAATACGCCAAGTCTGGTGCCATCATCTGGGTCAAATCTGACATATACTTCACCTGGCAAATCAGACGGATGAAGGAGTGGAAGGCTGTACAGAAGACGTTGCGAGACCTACGTGCTGACAACTTGGGAGTCTTGTCAGGATTAATCATGCACTTCCTCCGTATGGTTGACACGACACCAAGATATCTGCCCACCCATGTATCCCAATCTCTCAACACTCTTAGAGTTCCAGCGCTCATGGAGACCTACGGAACATTATTTCTCCGCGATCTCGACATCCACTGCAGTGCCCAACATCTTCCGGCGATTCAATCGGAGGATAGCCCAGATGTGTTCAGAAGCCTGGGCAGACGTGTTGTTGTTCGGAAACGGAAGGATATCGAAAGCCTCCACATTCCCGACGTGGAGCAGTATCCCATCGGTGAAACACCCACATGGCCAGCGCTCAAAGAAGCGATCGCCACCGCACCCTGGCTCATTCTTCGACCCCTCACCTTTCATGGCGACTGGGATGTCAGCACTGCTGCAACCAAGCTCTTCATCTCATTCACGACACAGATGTTTGTGCACCTCGACGAATCACAGCTCGAGAAGGATGATATCCCACAGCCCACGACATTGGAGCAAGCCATGCAAGTTTGGTCACCACAGAGCATCTTCACCCAGATCCACAAAGTGACCTTTCTCGCCAGCAATTCTGGCATTATTGGTGTTGCTAGGGGCAGCCCCCAACCTTCCTTCGCAGAGCGCATGGAAACCTTCTTCCCTGTGGATCGTCAGACAATCAAAGGGAAGTGGCGGAATTTCATGGAGGAAAGGATAGACGGTTACCTCCACCAGTACTTCCACGAGATCACTGCATCACGAACCGAGGACGAAAGGGGTATCAGGGGTGCACTTGTTCAGATATTTGCGAATCTGCAGTGTCTCCCACGGACGACACCCACCAGCCCATGGGTGTTGAGTGATCACCCCAACGGAGGCGTAGAGATCATCACCAACCCAGTGAAGTACAGGATTCTCGGGCTAAGCAAGCATGCACAAGCAGGGTCTCGAGCTACTCGCCGCACAGTAACGCGTCGGAAGCCCAACTTCATCTCTGCGCTTGCAGCAATACAGGGACGCACTGCCCCAGCTGCAGACCGTATAGGAAGAAAGGCGAAAGCAACTGCACAAAAGTCGAATGCCAGGCGAAATTGGAGAGCACCTCCCACCCGGCAACAACCCCAGCCTCATCCTAGTTTGGAGAATAACTCGGAGGAGGAGAGCAATTCCTCCACATCGAACACTGATAGTGAAGGAGACGAAATAGGTGGTACAGAAGATGACAATGATAATTATGATGACAGAGATGATGAGTTCCAAGACGATGACGGGTAGTCAAATTGTATCTTACCGTAATACAGTCCACTAGGCTTTAATATGAAGGTTTTTGCTGGACTTGAAACACAGGCTTATCTCTTTAGGACACTTTTCTACTCCTTCCAGCTCCGTCGGAGGCCAACGTACTCGATCGGATCAGAATCTACGTGAACGGACGCGATTAGGCTCTATTCGACCCTAATCTACTCGAATCTATTCGAATCTATTTGACTAAACTCCAATAGCCTGAGACGCGAACGGACGATAATCTCGCGGGCTCCATGGTGCATCATCGCGCCCGGAAGCCCTGCGTTAACTGGTATATAGCTACATATACGACTTCCGAGTGTGATCACGTTCTATCGCGCCTCCGTTTTTCGGAGTTGAGTCTATCATTCTCTTATTTAACGAGGATTTAAAAAGGGGCCTTCGGAAAGGAGCCCAACGGAGCAGAACGGGGTGTAATGGAATAGACAGGACTGCATTCTATTCCGGTAACAGAGAGCCGGGCACGTGTCAAAGTGGTCGTCCTCGTTGGCGAAGAAGGTGACAAGGTTTGACGGATCGGGCGGTGAGTGCGTGCCCTTTGAACTCCGCTTTGATTGGTTCCCTGGAGTTGGCGCTACACAAGTAGATGTCGAGGTGGAAGTTCGGATGTTCTCCTATTGAGATACCAAGTAGACACTATGTGAGCAGGTGCATCATTGAAGGGAATGAGAACAATTCAACATGTGGTATTTAAAGTACAGACTCAGTCAGGCAGCAAAGAACAAGAAATCAACGGCGAGATAATCATGCAAGTACACTCCACTCAACCCTCCCGCCACATTTAGTCATAACATGAACAAAACTGAACACCCATCCTCGTCCATATCCATCCTCAGCTCCTCTACAAACTCTCTGACCGCGTCTCTCGACTCCTTCACCATCTCAGCCCTATCCCAGTCTGATCTTCGGCGCCATACCATACCGAGACACATAGCCCTCAACAGCTCCAGCTGCTCCACTGATAACGAACTGGTCTCGTCCCTGAGCTCGCGACGCAAGATGTCGAGTTCATACTCTGGAAGATGGAAGTCGGGCAATGGTGTCGGTGCCCGGTCAACCTCCATGGATTCATGTGGAAGTTGTGGTTCGACTTTGGAGGCACCCAGGGGCGGGTCGATTTGATGGGGCAATGGAGAAGCAGCCTAACCTAACCTAACCTAGGTCCAGTCTCTTCGCCGCACCGCCGCACCGCTCCACAGTGTCGCGGGAATATTACGAGGAGGCCATATTCTGAACGAGCTCGACGAACTGATCACAGCCGCGCTGATCCAATGGGCCAGTCTTTTTGCTGCACCTCTGCACTGGCCACGGGGTTCACCCTGTGGGCGATTAATAATATTAGCCATGGTCCGTACGAGGCTGCAAATATTATGCAAGTACTGCCAAATTACTCCCCTGAGCCCTGGGTGCCAGGAAGTAGCTCCACAGTGCGTGATATCCCGCACGTTGCAGAGATACCAAAGATCCAGGAGTGGAGCAGGGACCCCCTGCCCAGGGATATGGATGTTAGGCATCTGCAATGATGGGGTAGTATTCGTGATGCGATCAGGACAGTCTGTTACAGACATTCTCCATGAGCGGCTCTCATTGCTCATGCATAGACATCTCATCCCACTCAGCCTCGCTATGCTGCACAAACCTGTCCACGATTATTTCATCCTCTTCTTCGGAGTACCCAATATTGTTATTCGCCCAGGAGAACCCCCTGTTCAACCTCTTTCTCTCCCCCAGCCACTCCTTCTCCTGCTCTATTAACACCTGGTTGACCGCCACGCAGCAGAATCAAAATCGGAGTCCGGAGTCGGAGTCCGTTCCATCTCCTCCCGCCATGCCAACCATGCCAACTCCTGCAACCAGTCCTCTTCGTTCATGCGATGGAAGTCCTCATCCCACTGTCTCTCCCGAGCCTTCACCTTCGCCATTTCTTCCTCCACCAGCTGCTGCTCCGCCTGTGCCAGGAGCTCATCCCACTCCCGTTCCGCCTTCGCCACGGCCACATCGGCTGCCTCCCTCTCCACTTCCCCCTCCACTGCATCCCAGACAGCCCTGGCGATCTTCAGCACTTCCCGGGGTTCCGCATCCACCCCCACCCCATACACCCCAACTTCATCACATTCACATCCATCCTCCCCCATGATGCCGCATGGCAAGTATTCCCCATCGTCCGGACAACCCTAATGCATACGTACACAACCCATCAGTACAAACAGTGTGCCAAGGCAGCACATGATAGACTCACATCGGACATCACCTTGCTCGCATTCTCCTCACCGTTGAGCAACTCCTCGACCTCGTTCATAGACGTGTCCATACCACAGTAGCTTTGTCAGACCTGAAGTCAAATGAGACAGCGACTTTGCCCAACGCCACTGAAGAGCGCACTCACACTCAGTCAAAGAGTATGCTGTTGCCGTCAGCAAGAAAGAACACCCTTAGGTTAGGTAGTAGACTGCTGGCAAAGGAGGGGATATGTGGAGTGAAGGCGGTGTGGTCAAGGAAATAAGATGCTTGGGGGACAAGCGAAGTATTTCGTTGGGGAACTCGTTAGTCCTGACCAGCGATATATATACAGAGTGGAACCCGTGCACGGACCATCCTGATTTATGTGCGGGAGAGCACTTCATCATGACGACATTTATGAGAAGAAAACACTGCTGATTCGGAGTCAATTCGTACCAGCATCTCCTCATTCTCATTAACATCCACCCCGGGGCCTATCTAACATGAAACGTACAATGTATGTTTCCTTGCAGGATGGATGAAGTTTGAGGACGAGCTAACGAGCTCATCAATGTCAAGTCCTTCAACTGAGATGCGTGAAGTAGGCACTCTGTCGGTGTGGCCGACTGAAGACATTGTCAGTCAATACCGAAGCAGATCGAGATGTGGCGCCTAGCGAGTGTGGGGATTCTCGAGATGAAAACCAAGGTAGATGTATCTGCACCAATAGCTTATAGAACGAGGTTTGGGTCAGGGAGAGAAGGATCGAGGGCAACGAATGGTGATTACGCAACGGTGATTGTTGTGAGACAGTGGAGAGAAGGGTCGGACCAACAACCTGGAGCTCTCTTCGGAACCAGGCCTGACAGATTTGAACGACCAAAGGAGTCACAATATCCCGCAACTTATTAACGAGGGGGAAGTTTTGCCAGGGTGCTTGCTGGAGCGCTGCCGGTGATGATGGGTCGAGAAGTAGAAGTCGGAGTTGGGTACATCAGAGAGCAGCTCATGGATGGCGGGTACATCGCCAAGATGAACCAGATCACCATTCTCATCGTGAAGGTCTTCAAATTGGATAAGCAGGAATGGTTTCTCCACAAGGTTTTGGGAGTATATCAAGTTAAGGAAAGCTGAAGAGGACTAATAATCTCTCGTACAAGTGTCATAAATCATCCAGGAGTAAGTCTCGACCCAGCATAGATTTTGTGATTTTGAGGACTTCCATTGACTCTGGAGTGACCTGAAGAGAGGAGATGAATCCGTAGCCTGGTGTCGACACCACTACAGACTTCGTAGCATGGTGTCGACACCAATACAAACTTCGTAGCATGGTGTCGACACCAGTGCAACCTTCGTAGCCTCATTTTCTCACCTTGGTGTCGGTACCTTTACAGACGTCGTAGCATGGTGTATGGGGCGTTCGCGACTCAAAAAACATCAGATGATTGGGGGAGAAGACTGTAAGTATGACACCTCTCTGTGCACTATCATGACTGTCCCATCTTGAATAGCATATGCTTTATGGCATAAAATCCCAATCTCAGCCTGTCCCCATTCGTCATTCCAGAGATTATATCTCTGATTACCCTGCTTGTAGTCTGTACTGTCCTCTTGCTCACACCGAGCTCCTTGGCGCGTGCCTGCACCCTGTCTGGCCACTTTGCCATCAATGCTTCCTCAAAAGCCGGAACCAGTCGTCCGTCGGCTTGAAAGATAAGCCATGCTCGGCAGTGCTTTCAAATAATGAGGTCAATACACGGCAGACACGGATATTGGTTGAAGACCACGGGAGTACCTTTGTAGTGCGTAACTTTTTGAGTGCATCACCCGTAATGGGGAGGTTCACTAGAGCCTTCT